GAACTTGTGACATGGGCTTTAAACCAACACCATGCACATAAATAAATATATAATTTTATTATTTCTTTTCATAATGGTGATGGTCTCATCAACTTCCCACTATCAACTTTATTATTATTTTTTATTATTTCTTCCCTTCACTTCTGTCGGGGCACCCATCCAAATTGTCCTTATTTTATTAATGTTTTCATTTCACAACAACAAGTCCTTTTAGTTACTCAGGAAGTAAAAGTAACAATAAGTTCCAATTGGTGTTCCTCCTCCGGTGAGTTTCGAAAAAGTCGAAACGGTTCCCATAAGTTTTGGAGTCAAGAGTGTCTGCAACTTATGAGAAGATCAAACCGTTAGATTTAGTTCAAATTTTAGTATGATATGGATAAGAGGATACCAAACAACTTTCGTGAAGAAACAATTTCGATTTGAGCTACAGAAATAGAGTTATGGTACTCATAAGGTGGCTGTCCAGTTTTCTGCGGAAATTGGAAACTGGTTTAGTATTTCAGACATCTGCAACGATCGCACCGTTAAAGTTTTCTGAAATTTTGATATGTTGTAGATATTGAGTGGACGAACAACTTTCAAGAAGAAAGTATTTTAATCCGAGGTCCGCAAGTTGGAGTTCAGAGGCTGTTTACATTGCTGTCAAATTCTTTACGAATTTTGAGTATGTACTCTTTTGCTTCTGCAAAGGATGATATACAGTCATACAACAATATATATAGTTGCTTCAAGAAAATCAATTGTACTGAGATTTGAAGATTAAATGAAAATTGTTTCTTATCTGTGAGATTCCAGTTGAAGGAGGTGAACATGATTTGTGGCGTTGTGCTTTCCACTGACATAAGAGCTTCTCGTGCTGATAACGTGTTGTAAAATCGACTGTGGGTGCAGTGGAATAAATGAAACAAGACACAAAATTTACGAGGTTCCTCTACAGTCAGTGTGACTGGAGTACGTCATCGGGGCAGCAGCGGCGCTTTCATTATAATTTGAAATAATAGGAGTACAAAGATAACTCTCTCTATTATCTCCTCTCATCTTCCTCTATTCTCTCTCTTCCTCTTCCTTCCTTCCTCTCTTTCTTTCCCGTGAACTCTTCACATCTATCTATCCCTTTGTTGTGTTTCATAAGGCTTGTTTTTATACAAGTAAATCACATGCTAAATAGTGGAAGGGCAACTTGCCCATTATTTGAGTGGACATCCATTTCTACAACACATTTGTCTCTTTATTTCTCTCTGTTACAATTCTTCATTTCGTCTTCTACAAGATATCATTTCTTCTTCGTTTCTTCTACAAGATATAATTTCTGGTTTCTATAATTTCTAAGAGAATTGTCATTGGTACTAATTCTAATGGTGCACTCTGAACTTTCTATATTTAGAAAGAAAATACTCTTATATGAAGTGTACAATTAGATTATTGGAGTGTCAATAACAGTTTTCATTTTTTAATTGTAGTATTTATTTAGGATTTCTTATGTCAAACCCTATATAGATTGTAACTATTGTTATTTATTAATTCAATGAGTCATATTTCTACTTCACAGCTTCATTGCTAAACTATTTTAAATTTGTTTGATTTTCGGCAGGATTGATCATAAAATGTTGGAACTAAAAATAAACAATTCAAATCATCGTGTAAAATTGCAAAATGAGAAAGAGTGGCGAAAATTAGAATCAGAATGTTTAAATAAGGAGGTTTCTAGCTTTCTTGTCTAATTAATTGATGTATCAACCAAACGTTTTTAGTTCAGTTTTAGACACTGGACCATATAAGTTGAAGTTCTTAATTCATAAACCTGAAGAATGACTTAACCACCATGCGTGCTTGTTAACCACCAAACTGTACGAGTCAAACCTTTGATTCATGAACTTAGAAGCATTTGAGGGAATAAATCAGTTTGCATACCAGCAGGAGACATAACCATTTCTGTTGAAGAGACATATAATATTGCAAGAAATATTATTTGACAAGGACCTTGTTTAGCCTAAAGACTTTTTTGATAGGGATTGGATTTGTCACATTAATTTACAGAAAGAAGAATAAACTGCTAACCACTTGGCAAACTTGGACACGAGACAGAGTTGGTTTTTTCTTGCTTTTGGGAATCCTCCGAAATATAATAATAAGAAGAAATATAGTAAGTGTTTCTCTAGTGTTTGACGAAAATGAGTTGTTAAGGAGGCTATACTTATTCTAATTTTTGCATAATTTCTGAATTTTTACGGGTCTTTCTACTATTTTAGCTATTTAGAAAGTTCAAAATAAGTTTATTTTTTAGGGTCGTCTAGTCTATTTTTATCATCTTTGCATGTCTATCAATTCTGGGATCGTTCATGGTGGGATGTTTATTCTTGGAAATTCTCAGGGTTTTGACGCTATTGTCATGGTCAGTTTCTTGTGGTTTCTACTAAGGGATTGGTCATCACAACTCTTTTTATGCAAAATTATCAGCATTTATTATTGGTGTAGAGTTTGCATATCGGTAGGGTTGGCATTGTCTTTGGCTAGAAAGTGACTATTTTAGTGTTATTTCTGCTCTCTATCGACTGATTTTGATCCTCCTTGGCCTTTTCGTACACAATGGTCTATTTGTTTGGATTGCATTCACAAGATGACTTTCTATGCCTCTCACATATATCACGAAGGAAATGTAGTTGCGAACAATTTTGCTAACATGGGCTTGTCTTCTCCAACTTTGATATGACATGATTCCCCTCTGATGGCAATTTATGTCGCTTTATTTTTAGACTATGTTTGCTTTCTTGGCTTCCGCTTCTCAAATTAATGTGCATCTCGGCATACAAGTTTGTCTCACGTTCTTGTTTTTTTTCTTCTTAACCTTGTGATGTTTCTGGCTCTATTTTGCAGGTTTAGATTTTAGGTTCGACTTTAGAAGGGTTAGGTTTCATTTCCCACCCCTCCCTCTTTTCCTTGTATCTTTGTTGTTTTTGCTTCTAGAAGGGTAAGGTTTATATCCCCCTTCTTTTCATGTATTTTTTAATCATTTTTTTCTAGTATTATGAGAGGTTAGGTTTATGTCCCCCCTGACTAGGTGCATCATTTTTTTTTTATATCAATAAAATTCTCCTTGTACCGTCGAGGTTTTCTAATATATATATATATTTATATATATATTCGTCATACATTTTCACACATTTCTGTTAAATTAATATTAAAAAAAAGCTAAATAGTTTCGATTATGATGCTTGTACGGTGAAGATATGTTAATTATAAGTGGGGGGCAAGTTAGTTCTCTGCTAGAGTGGGATTGACTTTTGTTAGGTCACTAGCGTTAAGTGAAGACCTTGACAAGTATTGAAGTGACATATCACACTCATGTCATTTATAAAGCTCTAAATCTCCATACATATCCCTTTTAACTAGATAAAGTTAACGTTGAACTTGGCTAAAAGAGGTCTTGAGGATCCAGAACTCTAAATGACTTCTTAGTAAAAAAAATTCAATATTTGTCTATAGTATCACTTAAAATTAATGAACATCGTCAATTAACACTTGTAAGGTCAACACTTAATACCAGTGACCTAACGAGTATCTGTTGACCAATTTAGAATCACCTCTAGAAATTTGGTTGTTATTCGGACTTAACCCAAAAACGTTAATGTTATACACATCATTGCAGCCCAATAGCCCCATAAGGCATACGGCCCATATTTTGATCAATTAATATTTATTTATTACCCAAGCCCATTTCCAAGTCACTGTGGATAATTGTTTTTCACATGGACGACTGACTTGTCCCACTTACGAGTAACGAATTTTTGCAGTTTAAACATCATACTCTAAAGGTTATATATGAAAAAAATTATTCAAAAAATTATTATTCTAAAGATTATATATGCAAAAAAATTATTCAATTTTGAAATATTTGAGCCACTCATATGTATAAAACAAATGAACAGTTCAATGAGGATGTTACTTATTATTGAAACAGCTAATTGGTGTAACACGTATGGATGACTAAAACATCTCCAATAAATTTTTTTTTTATTTTTTATTTTTTACAGATATGATATGTAGATACCGATTATGATGTTCGGACGATAAACGTTAATCATAAGTGGTGGACATACCAGTAGTGTCACAAGCATTATCCTGCTGTGTGCAGAGTCTTTAGCGAATGGTCTTAACCCCCTATGATAAGAAACATTTTTGGATTAGTGACAAAAAACCGTTGGTTTCAATGGACACCATTATTAGCTAGAGTCAGGCCGGGAAATAGGCCGTAAAAAGCTTCAAGACAAAGTCCCCGCCGGTGTAAAATGTGTACTGCTATGACCTGACTTTCGTTCTTTTTCCTTTTAAATCGAAACTACGTGATCTGATCTTGCATCTCTAGGTTTATTGCATTTCATGGAAACCAAGTAAGCATCGTTTTTTCGCCGTTTCTACTTGATGGAAATGCTAAATGTTGTGCTGGACTTATCTGTTTTGTACAAATTGCGCAAATTGTTGGTTTAGTGTCAGCAAAAACTACAGAGAAATATTGATTTTTAGGTAGTATATTAGGCCGGGGTACCAGATCTTTTCAAGGATTATGTATTAAATTTGTTTGTAGGTTATCCTATCACTCAAATTGTTGAACGTGCTTTATTTCTAGATGTCTAGTCAACTACTGCGCCATAACGAATTAGAGAACTAGCTAATTCTACGTTTCTAGTGACATTTGACCCCTAACAACAACTCATTCGCTAATTCTTTAACATTTATTTTTTTAGGATAGAGCTAACACCACACGTTTACATTGGAATTTGAGACTGGATGTGATTGGAATTAAGTCTAACGACCCAATTTTAGTCTTGCATCTGATCGGATGGGACTTGTAAGATGTTAGTTTTTATCCAATTTCATAAGTTCAGTTTCAATATTTTAAGTTCATTTCAGTCCGGACCGAGCCACCAAACCAACCCTTAATCCTTGATTTAGCTTTTGTTCTGAGAAAATTGTGGTGAATGACTTGAGCATCAAACCAAAAATCTCAAGACCAAAACATGTACTTAACCACATATATCGTGGAATTACAAGACAAACTTCATTAATCACATCTTACAACATGACATCTCCAGACTAATCTCGTACTAATCATCATAATTTACATTTAGAAACAGTCAAAATACAGGGCTTGAATTTTTAGGTTTCAACCCAAGTTGGTACACGTAACCAAAAACAGAACCTTGTCTGGACGTACAGGGCAGCCAAAACTTGACCGAGAAAAAAAAAAAAAAAGAGGAAATATGAAAGAAAGAACCAAGGAATATACGGAGAAAATTCACAAGTCAATAGCATCACCGCGGTCACCAACTTTTCCGGTGACCGTGTTGTTGCGATCGGGGCGTACTGTCGGCCGCCGTGTTGTTACTCTTTGGAGAAGACAATGATCCATGATTATTATTAGTATTATTATTATTATTGTCACTCAATCTTCTACCATGGTCTTTCTTCTTTGATGCTCTTTTTGTCTCGGAATTGCTTTCTTTCAACGTCGGCAATGCGTACCAGCCGATAGACGTGCACAGAATTGCAAACGACCGCCCGAACACTGCCAGCAGCACCAAAATGAACACCACAACCACCGGCAAATAGTAAGAGGGCCTTCTCCACATGCCCAAGTTCATTCCCTTTAAGTTCAATGACGAACGCACCCTCTTATCATTCTTTGGTGGTTGCTGAGCTGCTACTTCTTTTGTGGGCGTGGAGGGCTCAACGGTAAACTTATCCAAACTTCCCGAATTACGCGTTGCATGCTTTTCTTTCACCAGCTGAGTTTTGGTTTTCTCTTTGTGGTCTTCTTTCTTGTTGTCCTTCAACTTGATCACGATCGGGATAGGAGGGGCGTCCTCCTTCGAGTCCTTGAACACGAAGCGGACGAAGGATATGTCTTGCGGAGGCGTTTGCGCGTAAATCTTCTGCCGCTTCTCTTCGAGATCGGCTAAGAGCGCAGAGAACTTGTCGAGACCCCGACTCGAATAGGGGTTCTTGCTGTCCTTGCTGCTTCTCTTTGATCTTCTCGGCGTGGAGCAAGGACTCGAAACGTTTATGGGTTCATCTTGAACGTCTTCCGAGTGGAAGAATCCGCAGCTGAAAGGGCTTAACATTTCAACAAATTCAACGGACTAAAAATGAAATGATTGTCAAACGAGCCTGAGTTTTTGAGTTTTGGTATTTGAGTATAGAGTGATTTGGTTTGATTGGAAGCAAAGAGAGATTATATATATATATATAAGGGGTTGTTTTGCTGTGATTTGATGTGATCTGCTGAGAAGAGAGATCCAAAACGAGCCTCCAGTCAAAGGAATGGTTTGACAAAAGCAAAATGCCACGGAAGCTTCTGCTACCCATATGGATTTTGGGGTGGGTTTGACTTCTTGGAGGGGAAGGAAATAATGCCATATATGCACGTCTGAGATTATTCTTTTGCAAATACGCAGACTCTGGATGTCTGGAGTCTGGACAGAGAAAATGGTAAGAAAATATTATATAAAATTTAGTTAATTACATGGTTTGGTCTTGATGCTTTGCTTGGGGAAGTGGGTTGAAATTTGAATTGGTCCAAATTTACAGAAAAACATTTTTAGTCATAAAATATTGAGCGGCGCATGTAATTGTGAAAATCATAAACGAGTAAGATAATGTCTTCTAGAAGGAGCACTTGGCCCACTAGGACCATGAACTATTAGTTGAAAATGCCATGGAAGTTTGGCGTGTATGGCATAAGAGTATTTACCTTTATTATATGTGTCATTGATATTTTAATTTACAGAGAATGAGAATTAAATTCAGTATATTTAAATAATTTTAATTTATGTCACTTAATACTACGGACTAATAATATTTTTGTTTATTTGTAAGTGAGAAGCTTTAGATTCGATTTTCGCCAAAGGCGAATTTGAACCACATTATTACTAGCTCATTGTGAAACTAAACACCTCCCTTAATGTAGATAATATCGTTTGTCAAATAATAATAATAATAATAATAATAATAATAATAATAATTTTAATCCTAGTTTTTCCTATGTTTACTAACGCATATGGAATCGAAAAAGAAACACCCTTAAAATCTACAGTGTATACTTGAAAATTAGAATTCAAATTACACGACTAGTTCATCTTGCCTCATCTTTTACTTTTTAAGCTCTACAATTCTTACTTATCCAACTCACGTTAAGTAAACTTGCCATGAATTCAATTTCCCCTCCCATTTATAGCTCTAATGATGAAACACATGAATCTAATTTTCATGTATATGAGGACGAAAATGGGAACAAACATTAGACGTCAAACGATTTTAAATCTTGTATTAATTGTATAATTTTGTTAGTCACAAAAGTGAAAAAAAAAAAAAATCTAATGTATGCAAATTTTGTATGGATGTTTATCCATAATTGCATATTTAATTTCCCGGCCATTTTTCAATAACTTGTGGATGACAAAGATTAAATAGAACATCATGTATGCCTTGACGTATTTGATTACGTTTTAGAGCAATGGAGTAGGAGCAAAGCAATAATTGCAGTTATTTTAGTAAGTAATACGATATTAGCAAATAACTAATTTAAATGATTCGTCACTGCTGGTCCATTCCATGCTAATACCAAATCTAAGATCCCTGAAGAAAGACCATAAATCAATATTATAATTTGTGAAAGCACAACTTGTGAAGCACGCAATATTATTTGAAGTGAAATCTCAAGATTATTGTGATGGGTGAGATATTTCAAATGTAATACGTCTTAATCATGTTTGTTAGTACTAATAGGATAACCCTCAATCTTATTGTTGAAAAAACGAGAGGCAATGAAATTAGTATTTGCTCTCGTGATAGTTGCGTTTAGTTGGTTGAACTATTGAAGGATATTTAAAATACTTCGACTTGCATAAATCTAATACGATATATCTTTTCAATGAATTCAATAATTAAATATGTCTTTTTATAGACATCATTGTCCGAAATAATAAATAAATATAATTTTTTTTTAAATATCCTGGCCAACTGCCAAGTCATTACGTTACAATAGGATAAGCTAAATTCAAATATATATCATAATTATTTTTTTTAGAAGAAAATATCTTATGTCGGAAAATTTGGTCACATTGCTGCTTAATTCGAATATGATTCTGGTTTTATACAATATTTGTTTGAATTTAATTATAAAATATATCATCATCTGCGCGATTCATACAGATAATCATTCCCGTCTCATTCCATCTAGAACAAAAACTCTGACATCCAACCTACTCACCAAGTGTCCCTACACCCACCCAAGTCTTCATTTTGGAGCGGGGCAGTTTTTCCACTTGAAAAAGGGGGCCCCAACTTCGTCACCCTCAGACATTTATGTCAACAACACTTAAACCATGTTAAGGGCTTCCAGAAGCCTTCAACATCTACAGAAGTGAAGGCATTTTCTTCACTTCACACAAGCAGACTGCCTGCGTGTGCTCCCGCGACTTTTACATAAACAAACTTGATATCCACTGACTACTATACTATACGTATACAGAAGCGAGCATAATTATTGAGTTCTTAAACAGATCATCGACATAAAAACTTAATCTACGCCGTTAAACCACAGTTTTGTTATAAAACCCACATCATCATATGCTCAATCTCTTTGGGAAACAGTTCTATGCAAGTAACATATTTGTATAAATAATCCGGCATGACTAAAAGGTATATACATCATACAAAAATTGTCACTTTAGCGGGAGTTGCCTGATCTTGTCGGCATAAAGTATCCATGACGTTGAGAATTCTTCCGATCTGAAGTCAGTGAGGGAACAGTCATGGACTTCTGAAGCATGCGACCAACAAACTAAGCTGTACTAGACAAGCATCATTCTCTTATACATACATATTATCAGTCTCTCAGCTGTTCATTGTCGTCGTCAAAAGTTTCGTCATCCTTCATGTACTTCTCTTGCACTGCTGCAACTGTGAGCTACTTTGTTAAGCGAAACAGAAAATGTCGTTTCTTGATAATGCAGATACTGATGTGGCTAAAGGACAATTCCAAATACTTTGTAGTATAATTCACAAGTATCTTGACAAGATAAGGAGCTACCCGCAAACTTTTTATTGTAGAATCAAAATAAAAAGGATATCTGTAATAATCCCAATCAACAGGACCGACTGCAATCTTGCTGAATTCTACGGCACTCGCGTCTATACCAGCAAAAATGTACCCATTGCTCTTGTCTATCAGTTTAACTAGATTCCCTACACTCTCTTTATCCTGAAAAGTAGCATGTGAGAACACAAGGCATAAAAAATTCAAGAGGTCGGGAGTAAAGTGGATAGGGACTGGCATGCCTGGATATCTAAGGTTGCAAAATTGACAAGACTGTAATCTTCAACTACTTCACAAAGCTCCTTAGTAAGCTTTCTGCAATATAAACAAGAAACATTTTCGTTATTAATAAAAATTAAAAAAAAAGCCAAGGCAAGATTTTCATAGTCTTTTCCCATAAGATCATATATAATCAAACCTGTACTTAGCCGAACGAGGATCCTGATCAATCTTGTACTGAAGATAAGATAAATCCTCTACATCTGTGAAGAAATCAAGGTTGAAAGCTGCGGAGATTAAAAAGAAAACAGTAATATGAGTCAGATATCTCAAATGTGATGTATAAGGAAAAAATGAAAAAAAAATAAATAGCAAAAGAACAAGCCATGACCATACCTAGCTTTCCATAACTCTCTATTAGATCAATCTTAGACAAGACATTTATGTGAGGGAGTTCCATATGAAGCATGGTTGATAAAGAGAGAATCAATGCACTAACATACTTTCCAGGATCACTGCAAAGATGGGCATCAACCAAATGCACAGCGGTCAACTGCATCAAATCAGGAAGCCATCAAGATAACAATCCAAGGGCGCATCCACTATCATGGTCCAAGTGAATGGTGCAAGCTATAAATATACAGAAGATTAAAATCATACCCTGAGGTTTAACTTCTTTACAAGCTTCATGATGACATTCTTGGCGTTCGAGTGAAGAAAGAATAGTTCCACTTGGCCGGGGAGATCAAAGAGAATATAATGATCTGCAAAGTTCATAACAAAGATAGGCAGCAGCATGGCACTATTACAAACTAGATGAACACCAACATTCAATTCCTTTCAAACGTGCTATTATGATGCATAAGTTATACCCGGAAAAAAAGAAGTAGAAACAAGCTAATTTTGCTTTCAAACAATAGTTAATTTTTTCCACAGGTTTCATTTTCATTCATATATTTAGGCATCATTGGTCAAACCTTTTAAGTTTAATACCGAACTATCATAAGATCCAATTGGAAACTGTTTCTTGCAATAAAATGCAACTACATGTACAGAAGTCCTCCCACCAGCCAATACATGAATACCCTCGGAAAAGCTGTACAAGCGTACAGTGTTTCATCTAAACAACATGAAAAACACAATTGCAACAAGTTCAAGAATCAATAATATAGCATGGAAAGATCACGATGAGACTGGACGTCTGAATATAGAAGGGGAGGAAATAACCGCGATTACCATCCCCTCAGGTTAACAAAAAAAGGATTATCATGATATCAATGTCCAGAGCCTGAACATTCTAACCAAGTAAAGCAAGGCAGAACACACCAACCTTTCATAAGAGGTTTCAACTTCGCCTCCAACCAGTCAAAATTCTTCTCTAGATAATCCATGCAATACACAAGACCTGGATGAACATGATGAAAGAAACTTCAGTAATTGCAGCCCAGACAAAGCATCATTTGTTGACTCTAACAAAAGGGCATACTTCAGCACCAACTAATGGGTTAGTCATAAACTCAAGAGGATCTCCGCAAAAAATAAACAGGAATACATGATTATAAACCATCTGATGCACAACACCATTTCAAGCTTTACATGTTTTCATCTTGATCAAGTACATCCACAAAAAAAGGTATCAAGTGACTTCATGTTTTATGGTATAGAAGCTCCTTGAAATGCAGTTGTTAACTGTCGTGCTGTCTATCTATCGAGGATTTTAGCACCTTTTACTCCATTTAGCTCACTCCCAAAAATAGAAATAAAGGAAGAGCTTTTATGATGTCAGTAAACGGAAATCGTCCTTAAAATGCTTAAATAACAAAAATAAGTCAGTAACCATTGTTCCTACCATCTAACTTCTCCAAATGTCACCTATTTTCGAAGGAAAAATTCGAGAGTCCAATAACTTCCTATCTTTCCATCGTTTTCCTTCTTCATTCCCGAACCAAACAATTTCTACTCTTTAATTTACCCAAGTATTGAACTTTTATAGATTCAATAAAGAACAGTAAGAGCTCACCTCCATTGGGACCAAGAGAGTGCTCCACCATCACATCACTGAGTTTTACAAGATCCTCAATGTTCACAGCACATTCATACCTATATTCACGTAAAGGCTCAACATTCTACATTGGAATGCAATGCAACAGTGCAATTACGAACAATAAAACACGAAAAAACTGGAAAGGATACGGCAATGCATCGTTGGCAGGATCCAAATTCACAACTGCAACTTTCCTGCGAGCCGAAAACGATGAAATGGTCGATGCAAACATTGAGAGAGATTCAAAAACAAAAAACTGTAGCCACCCATAAATCAGAGTGAAATTTTTTACCTTCCGATGAGCTGGAGGAACTGAGACATACCGTTGCAGTAAGTGGTCTTCCCTGACCCGGGCGGGCCGATCACCACTTGCCCAAAAACCATTTTTGGGTTTCAGGGTTAAGTCGCCGGAAAACCGAGAGGAGTGATTGTTCAGGGCAATGCAATCGAAGAATCGAGAGGGTTTTAGGGTTTTAAATTTGGGGGCGGTTACTGACGGACTGAGTCGGCGGCGAAAAGGTAAAAGGAGGTAGAAATTAATAAAAGTGAAAAAAAAAAGGGGCATTCCGAGAATCGAACTCGGGACCTCTCGCACCCAAAGCGAGAATCATACCACTAGACCAAATGCCCTGTCTGTTTCTTACCTGAGAGTAAAATAAATTATTCCATAAATATGAAAGAACACGTAAATGTAGCCATGGAAAAGGTATCCCAATGGCTGCGGGGCCCATGGTTCTCTCTCTCTTGGACTTTTGTGTCCCATGGTCACAATTCGGACGAGCTTTTATGTCAGTTCACTTTCATGCACATGCGATGAGGTCCTACTACGGAACATAAGGTCAATATGTTGGTGTTAATATTTTTTGTAGTATATTGTTATTAAAAAAACGTATCTAACATGTTATTGATATTGTTCTTTATGATATCAATGCACATGAAACGTTATGGACACAAAATTTCTGACATTCCCGGTGATTTTTGGCTGGCCTTTAAATCAATGTTTGAACTAATAGATGGAGGAAGACTATATTATAGCTCACATTAGGCAAAAGAAAAAACTCCAATGTGGGACTTCCACAAATTTGCATGGATGAAATTTGGAATAAGATTTGTCACCATGATCGAGTGTGGTGAAAGATAAAAAGAAAGACTAGGTTAGTACCTCCATCATTTCAGACTCATGTGCAATGTTTGAAACCTAAGCTAAGACATGTTTTCCTTTTCTGTACTTAAATTCGAAAGCCTAATTTAAAATAGATTATAACATCAATTTGAATCAAACAAAAACTAGGCAACTCGGAGGATCGAGCAATTCTAACTATTTACACACAATTCAAACTATATGGAAATGATTTTTTAGCAAAACAGTACTACGATACGTTGATAGATTGTCAATCAAAATGCTCTGTTAAGTATGGTTGAGACAATTTCACTTAAAAGATTTAACCTTAATTCAGAGGCCATGTCCATCTTTATAAAAATGAATAATATTTTGTCTACTCAAAAGATGCATGACTCCTACTCAAAACTGTTTATTGTTGATTCATAGAACTTCATGTTGCGATCATAACCGTTCAAATTAATCACCTTATAAAGATCGTATTTGGAAAAAAATCAATTAAAACTAAGTCTTTGAATTATATAAAAACAGATGAACGGAATTAGTAAAAATCATTACGATCACTCTATGTATTTGTTATAATAGAGTTTTGACTAAACAATCTTAGTTTTAATTCATTTTTCGCAAATATGATATTTGCAGAGTGTTTCATAATATGAACGGTTCTGACCCATCAACACAAAATCCTTCGAACACAAAGAGTTTTGAGTAGAAGTTCTTATTCATCCTAAGTAGCCAAATATTGTTCTATAAAAAGAGTGCAATCATGGAGTAAAAAAATATCTTTGAGAATATAAGCATGCAATGCAAGCCAACTAGGCAAGCAAATGAGATGATGAAGAAGTGCTGGCATTTGATGGCATGGAGGCATCAAACTTGGGAGAAAAGTCACAAATTTGATGCTTCTAAGTTCAATTTTTTCAAAAAGGGGTTTTTGGGTGTTACCCAATGGGCCAATATCCACCCTTACATGTATCCCAGTTACTAGTGTCCCACCCCTAATTTAGCTTCCAACTTAATTAATAAAAGCAAAACAAACCAACTTATTAATTAGTAGTCATTTTATGAACAAATTTAGGCTCTTTACACAACACCACCCAACTAATCAACTAAGAGCTCGATTAGAAGTATTTTTGTAATGACTGTAAGCGTTTTTTATATTCAAAAATGTTTTTCGAACTAATTTTTAATAAACATGCAAGTGGATTCTGAAAAAAAAAATGAAAAAAAAAAGAAACGCTTAAAATGCTTTCTAAAAAAAAAGACATCATATGTTGAATATATCTATTACATATTTACAAATGCAACACTCGTTCAATAAAATATATATCATGTTGTGTCTTTGATTACGTGAGTTTCTTTTCAAAAATTCATTAGAAAAAATCAGATCAAATGCATGGTTTAGATGGCGAGGAAGATAATTAAGAAAAATTATCTAGTGAGAGCGGTAGGTAGGTGCTTTGGAAGTGGGACAACATGATTGCTAATTGTAGCAGCTAACTTTAATCATATTCATCCCAACAGCATGACAGTTGTGCTTCTCTTTTGGTCTCTGAATTCCCATTCCCCCCTCCAACCCTAATCATCTCTCTCATTCCATTTCTCACATCTGCCCTCCTTCTTCTTATTCTCACAGAGAGAGAGAGAGAGAGAGAGAGAGTGGAGAAATGGCATTTGCAGGAACAACTCAGAAGTGCATGGCTTGTGACAAGACTGTGTATCTGGTGGACAAGCTCACAGCTGATAACCGAATCTACCACAAAGCCTGCTTCCGATGCCACCACTGCAGGGGTACCCTCAAGGTTAGTTAACTTACGCTGCTCTAAAACTAAAAACGAAATGGTTATCAAACGACTCTTAAAATCTATGTTTTTCATGTTTGGGGGACGGAATGTTGAATTGAAGCAAAATGTAGCAAAACCGGTCTCATATTGCTTGCACTAAACCAATTACTGCAATAATTAAGGGTTGTTTTCTGCATACTTTTCGATCTGATAGACGTTCTTGTTTAAAGTAAACTTGCTTTGTGGTGCTTAATGCTTATCATGAACAAGTTTTTTTCAACATTGAGAAATTTCAAATTTCACCTGCATCGTGATGTTATAAGATCATAGATTAAACCATAAAATTTGATATGTGAATTGTTCAAATGCAAGAACAGAACTAGAGTTCACAGATTGACAAACTTTCATCTATTACATATAACTCCAAAGAGTGAACAATTAGTCAGAAATCGGACTCCGGCCATTTGATTCTACCAGTTATTCTAGCATTGTTCTATGCTGGAATCATCTTATATCGACTTTGATTTTTAATCTTCATCGGTAAGTTGTTGAAGAATGATTCCGATACAGAAGATTATATAACTACTTTGCATTTTTGGTTTTCATATACAACTCCATTTACAAATTGATGAATTCGCAGCTTAGCAACTACAACTCCTTTGAGGGAGTACTCTACTGCAGGCCACATTTTGATCAGCTCTTCAAAAGAACCGGCAGTCTTGACAAAAGTTTTGAAGGTAAAATCAAAATCCCGCTTCAATAACTAACCTTCCCTTCTCTTCATCGCTTAAGTTGATCAACTTATGTTTCAATTTCCTTTCTCAGGGACACCAAAAATTGTGAAACCAGAGAGACCTGTTGATAATGAGGTATAAATTCGTCCGAAAATCTTTAAATGCTTGCCTATGGATTACACAAGTTTTTAACATCTGCTGATCATCATCTTTCGATGGTCTCGATGGTGAATTGTTTTACAGAAACCTGCAGTAGCGAAGGCTTCAAGCATGTTTGGTGGAACCAGAGAAAAGTGCTTTGGCTGCAGGAATACCGTCTATCCAACAGAAAAGGTGTCAGTGAACGGAACTCCTTACCACAAGATGTGTTTCAAATGCACACATGGAGGGTGTACAATCAGCCCATCGAACTACATTGCACATGAGGGCCGGCTCTACTGCAAGCACCACCACACCCAACTCATCAAGGAGAAGGGAAACTTGAGCCAGCTTGAGGGTGACAATGAAAAGATCGCCGTGGATGAGAATGGCAGAGAAGTTGCTGCTGAAATATGATTCGAAGACAACGGATGACTCTATTTTCAATTGCCTTAGCATCCGTTCTTTAAGCCCAGGCGTGGTGTTGCTGTCCTTCATACCTTATCATTTTCCTGCAAGACAGATGAGTCTTTAAGTATTAATTGAAGCGTGTGGGTTCATTCATTTGTTGTGTTTAGTTTCCTCTGAGGTTTGTGAATGCTCAAATGAGATGCCAACTCCTATATTTTCAATCTAAACCCTATTGTTTTCATGCTTTGAAATTTTGAATGAAGGATGAGGATTCCCATGTTTTGAAAGCAATAAAACATGCAGATGTGGGAGTGCCCACACTGGCTAGAACCGATGTGCTCTTCTATGCACTCGAGTTCGAATCTTCGTTCCCACATCTTAGATTGCTTGTGTCAAAAGAAAACAATAAAACTAGAATACAAATTCAGATATGAGCCAACTGATTATTGAACATCTCATTAGATGATTCTACAAGAGAAAATCTGAAATGCGAATAAATTCAGTCATCGGAATTATGACTGCAGTTTAATTCTGTACAAAAATAAACAAAAAAATGAAACATTCCGAAAAGAGTACATTCGTCACGACAAAGGATCCACGGTATCAAGAAGACAACCATTTTTGGCAACATGCTTCAAGTCTCTGATAAAACTATCTTGAAGGGATCCAAACCCAAATGTTCCATCCCCATACTGCCAAATCCTTCCATGTGCATGCGGTGGGTTAGGTCCGACCCAGTCCGGAAGAGCTAGATCATGACTGAAGTTTATGCGCAGAATGCGGGAGACCCCCTCATTTCCCGTGAGCGGGAGATGCTGATGAGTGTGATCCTCTGCTGCACTTGGTCGAAGATGTACACGACTAGTGTACAAATTTTCTTCCTCTGGGGAAATCGGAGACTCAATAAAAGTAGGGCTCGCTGCCCAAAACACTGGTTGCTTGCTGATAAAACGCATTAAATGGCATAAATTTTCCGACGGGTTGCAAATCTTTTGGCAGGAAATGCCCCCAATGTTATCATATGCAACAAGGTAAAATCCCAAGGCCATGTCATCATAAATTCCCTGCAGTTGGAAGAAGATGAGAGGGTCAGTTGAATAGTTGTGCTATACTTGAAAACTCATCCGAATCCACCATCTTGTAATGGCACATTATAAGCAAAGAGCGAAAAGAGCAAAACCAGTTAGTTAAAGCACGCTGATCCGACTTTCCTAACTCAGCAACGAGACTTCTAAATAGTCCCGTGTTTTTGTTACACTCGGTAGTTCGGAAATTCTACTCAAATTGATTGATGCAGCCAGATCTTCGCTCGCAATTCTCATACATGACAACAATTCAATGAAGCAATAACACTGTCAGAAATACAATCAATGGAAATTCTTGGAGAGAACAGTCCTATTTTGTTTCGGAATAAATTCGGGTGCTAAATCTAAATTCCAAAATACAAACTAGATACAATGCAGTCCTCCAATAATCAACAAACACTTCACAATAGGCGAAATCGAGATCAAACTGTTAATGCTGTCTATATAAAAATGGCATAACATCTCTTGAGGCAATAACAATCTTCTATTCAAATTTTCAGCTGAAAAATGGCAGTACAAAGAGAGAGAGGGAACCTTCCAGAGGCCCTGCAAAGGCCTAGCCGCCGTAGGCGAGCAATCAACAATCTTGACATAATGCTGAGGCTCCAGCTTCCTCCTTGCTTTCCTTTCCTTCTCTTTCCTCCTCTGCCTCCTGGAAGATCTATCCGCACCCGGGCTGATCCGGTTCGCAAAGTACTGATATATCTCCACCACCGCCTGGTCTGGCGAGGTCCCCGGAGAGCCACTACCCTCGGCGGCTCCAATCACATCCTCGTCGACCACGCCGCCGTTTACGCGGCCACTCCCTGAGCTCAAACGTCTCCGAGCCCCAAAGCCTGTATCTTCCTCCACAACAAAATAGGTCTTCCCCACCAATCTCACATTCAGCGGAACCAATTCGTTCTCCGGAAATTTGAACCGGTCGGAATCCGCGAAATCTTCCAAAATCTCGGGCCGGCCTTCCGGGTCCAGAAAGTTCACGACTTGCCCCTCCGGCGAGAGGCTCATCCACAAAAACGGCGCCTTTACGACGCCGTACGTGCCGTCCTTGGCCGGAGATACTCGGAACCCCGTCACGAACGACGGGCCCCACTCGAAAAAAATCAACAGCGGCGATGTCTCGACGCCGCCCTGGCGCCAGAACCCAATCAGATTCTCCCAATCGCTGAGGGTCTGGTAGAGATTCCTGTACGTGATTTTCCCATTTCCCCATTTCTTGATCTGGGTCTTGGATCCCCACCTGCGATAGCACATGTTGAACCAGAGCTTGACGTCGGATTTGCAGAGCGAATCGAACCGTTTCGATGTGCAGGCGAAACTGGCGACATCGGGAGGCGTGAGGAAGGAGAGGATGCAGAGCTGTACGTCCTCGGGGAAGTCGGAGAAGTCAATGGCGCAAGCCGATTCGTCAATTGCGAGACTTGGGTCTTTGATTGTCGTCATTTTCGGATTTGGGAACTTGGGGCTGGTTTTGTTGGGAAAGTTGTGAATTTTCTGGGAAAATAGTTGGGAATTTTGAGGGGAGAATTGGTGGGAAATATGGGTGTTAGGACAAGGAAATGAGAAGGTGTTGTGTTGGATTGGATTTGCGAGATTCTTCGGCAAGAAGGAATATTCTCTTTCTTCAACCTGCTGCAGCACAGAAGTTTGAAGACCACCACGTTTCAGTGCCAGTAAACTGACGGCGTTTGTTAGGGTACAAGTGTAATTTAGCAGCTCGAGTCATATGTGGCACTCTTGAAACGTGGAGGCCCGACGGCCCAAGCAGATAAATACTCACCCAAGGCCCAACAATTCCAACCGCGCACGCATGGCGTGATATGAGTAGGTTGATGGAGGAAACCAGTCAATCAGACCACATGATCGTTTAGATGAAGACACTCAAGTGTCATACAAAGGAATTTATATACCATTCTCTTGGTGAGGCGGGGTGGATGCCTGGGTGGACCGAAATCCAAAGAGTGGGGCTAGTTGTGGTATTTTTGTATCTTATGTTGAACAACACACTATCTGATCATTCAAACTTAAGAATTTCTCAACTTTACGAGAGAAAGATAAATTATATGTACTCAGATGTAAGTATAAATACTTCAAACAAATTGAATTACATGTCTCATCCAAGCATGTTGCCCAAAGCATTCTCTCAAGCCACATGACGCAACCCATTCCTTCATATGGGCAAAAGCCCTAATGGAGCCACTCAAACCTCGTCACAGTAGCATTGTAAGGCGGCATTTGGCTATTATCCTCGAATCAGTGTCTACTGTCTAGTGATCAAAGCACACCCATGCGCAATAGACATAGATCATAAACAATGCCCGAAGTGATCACAATACACAAAAGTAATCAAATCCAACGACATCAAAAGCTCTCAAATGTCATTAGTACTTGATCTGGACCGTCGATAGTCCTTCACCCCACCATCCATCCCTGAGCTCTCACCACCCGTCCGATCCTTAGACCCTCTCCGCTTAAGCTTCCCATCCCCACCGTCAAAAACTTTCTCCAACAACTCCTGAACCGAGTCAGGACCCAGATATACCTTCCCCTGCAACAACCCCGAGAACGAGTTCACGAACTCGGTGTATGCCGGAACCACCAGCTTAACGGTAGCCGCCCTAATCTGCTCCCGCAAATCAACGTCCGGAATTACACAGAATCCCCTGTGCCTCTTCGAAATGTCGCCCAAGCCCTTCATGAACGCCTCGATTTTCACCCTCACCAGCACCGCCTTCGCTTCCTTGCTCTGCTGCTCCTCCAAATCGTCCCTCTCCAGAATCCTAACCAGCGGAGCCCACGATTGCTTCTGGTACAAGTAAGCGGATTCCTCGGCGACAACCTTGTAGTTGTTCCTCAAGTAGCCGTCGCCCAACAGCTTCCCGAGCTCCGTGTTTCTCGTCCTCATGTAAATGTACCAGTACGTGTTCATGCCGAACACGTGTGGCATGTGAATTGAAATGCCGATTTTGTCCCTGTCCCGGCTGTTGTTGTTGTAGCTGGAACGTTTCGACTCCACGTTTCTCTGCAGAGCTTCCATGATGTTGCAAATGGCGTTTTTGAGTAGATTCTCGTCGGTTTCCGGTTTCGACAAGATCCCGGCTTTCCAGATTTGCTCCGTTCTGAGAACTTTCGCCATGGGGACGCTGTAATTTTCAGTTGCTAAGTATTTCAAGTAGTTCACTGCGTACCTGTTGAAGGATGTAAAAAGTCGCACGTCAAATAAAGGTTGGAAACATAACATTGAAGCATTGGTGCTTAATTTACGATTGGAGCTCTTGCCTCTAAATTTTAAATCAATTAAAACTGATATCAGAATTTTATAAAATGTAGAGCATTGGTCCTTGAAGTCAACTTCGTGAGAATTTTCGTCAAAATTAAGCACGTAAAATGCAGGTGAGTCTTTTTAAAGAGCAAATCGAAGAAATGAATGTGCATGCATGTTGCGTTCTTAATTTTGATGACATTCTAATGAAATTGAGGTTTAATAACAATAACCAATATGCTACATATTTTTATCAAATACTTTTAATAAATTTTAATTCAAAAGCTAAAGCTACAATTTTATCATAGTTCAAGAACAAATCCTTTAGTTTACTGCCAATCCGTCTCCCTAAAATTTTGACGTACCTTACTATTTTCGGCACCGAACCGTCAGGTGGTGGAGGCAATCCATCAGAATTGCCTTCAATTTGAAGCCCAAATTCCCAAAAAACTTTACTCGAAGCATGAACAAGAAGCTTCTCCAGCTCCCTGAATCTTGTACAAATGTCGGTTCCTGATTCGCCATCAAAAACTTCTGAGAATCCAGCCTTCAGCTTCTCTAGGGAATCAAACATGTCGAGGAGCTTGAACAACTTCTGTGGTTCTTTGCTGCTTTGGGCAACGCCTTCGCCAAACCGGAAGAACACCGCCATGATTTTGTCTGCGATTTTGGCGAAGCATTCTCGCCATATCAGTCCTTCGACTCCTTCCATTATTCCTCCTAGGACTTGTTCGCAGAGTTTCTTCTCCGATACGAGCACTGCTTTGACTGCGAGCTCGAAGTGCTGGATCCAGAGGGTTATGGCTGTCTCCAAGCTCTCCCATGGTATTTCATCTATTTCTTCTGGTGTGTGGGTTTTTAGGTAATCAGGGTTTAGCCTCATTAGTGCTTTGGCCACTCTTTTGTACCTCACCTGTTGAACGACAACAAGCATAACAATTAGAAATAAAAAATAAAAAAGTTACAGTTTTTGTTTTTGAAGTGGTCTATTTCAATTTTAATTGCACTAATATTGTAGTCACTAGTCGATTAACTTACAAATTTAAAGACATAGGCTTATTAAATCATAGAACAGTTGAAGATATTAAGTCTTACAAGTCTCTTTTAATTATTAGAGGCCGTTGAGACTATAAAACCATCTTAAACGCAATCCCAATCATTTTCGGTCTCAAAAAGTGTTGAGAACATGTAATAGTACTAAAAATTCATTATCATATCATGTTGAGGTCACATTTTGTACGACCCTAATCCCTCGGAATAATAGCTAGGGGTGCTGCTCACCCTAATATATGGATAACAAATCACATAATTAACAACAACAAAAAACATTTCTACAAGTGAGGAAAAAAAAATAATGAAAATAACTTGAAAACTTTGAGTTTTAATCAAAATGACAAAAAGATGTTGAAAGTGAATAATACTAAAAGTCATTTTCATTAAAAGTGAGCAGTACTGGAAGTGTTTCGTTGAAACTCCATCTAAACCAAGTTACCTTAACATAAATATCGATGCATATATCCAAGCAATCATCGGCAGCTAGGGTTTGTGAAATCCTTCTCAGAAGTTCAACCTCCAACTCAGTCCCCAAAACCGAACCAACGATAGCCATCTCATCGCTCCGATCATCTTTATCCGAAGCAGCCTGCAAATCCACCACATTCCGATGCCTAATCTGCTCCAATATACTCTCATACTCGTCCTGCAAATTCAACAGCGCCTCATCAAGCAGCCCTTCAAACCTCATGGCGTCAACCTCTGTCTCGTACAGCGCCTTGAGAGTCACCAGCGTCTCCCTCAGCCGGTGCGTTCTGTACTGGTCCGTGGCCTTCGTCCTGCTCAAAAACTCCACCACTTCCTGCAGCCTCTGAATCACCGGCTCGCCCTCTTCACAAATACAGTTAATCGCAATTTTCAATTGGTCCACGCAGTCCACGTACTTGACAAGCTTCTTGAGCCGTTTCTTCATTGACTTCTCGCTCAACAACTTCTCCGAGAGATCCAAGAGCTTATCCTGGATGGTCTCAGATAGCTTGAAGTTGTGAAGAAGCGCCAAAGCTGGCGCGACAGCTCGGTTGATTCTGGTTTCCAAGGCTTTCGAGGCCATGGCTAGTGATTGTAAAGGAGCTACTCTTCTAGACGCAGTTAGAAGCGTTTCGTCTATGACTTCAAACTTGTTGTCCATCTTTTCAAGATTTTCTTCCATTTCCGCCGTCGCTCGTAGGATAGTTTTCAAATCGGAACATGTTAGCTCGAGATCGGAGAGCCTTGAATCGGCTGATTTGTAATTAGACGCCATTGTTAAATGCAATCTAGGTTTAATGGCTTTTTTGTATTGTGTCTCTGTGTGTTTATATGATCGTTTATGACGAAAATGATGTGTTTGTGGGGGCACAAAAGGACAAGGAAGTAAAATCATCTCGATGCAAACTAAGAACAAATGGCATTTGTGTGTTCAAAACGGACAAATGGTTAATTCTGGAAAGTAGTGGAGGGGAGTAGTACTCCGCCGGTAGAGAAATTATTAGGCGTGCCAATTCGTTGTTTGTAATGTACTATTTTAGTGGTGAGAGATCTTTGGTGATCAAAACACGGGATGATATATCACGTGTCATTATGTAAATGGTGAGACATATGTGTGTTAATAACTTAAAAAGTAAAATTTCTCACCACTTATATAAAAATACGTGATGTATTAATCGTGTTTTGGTCACAAAGAAAAATTTATTGTTATTTGTTATAATACGATAAAAATAATCATTAATTTGTCGTACTTTTTAAAATATATTAGCTAAAAATAATATAGAATAAATTACATAATACCTCTTCAGGTTTGAGTCCAATTATAACCTCATACAACATCTTTAAAACATTTCAATCTCATACATTTACTTTTTTTTTTTCAATTTCATACAACCGTCTTTTTTCCTGTTAGTCCTTATGCCTACGTGGCTGAAGCAAGTCGGACATGTGGATTAAAAAATTAATTAGAAATTCAACTAAAAATTTGAAAAGATAATTGAATAATTAAAAAATAGAAAAATGTTTCAAACACCCAAAAATTCATCTCGTCATGTTCTTCCATCTCCACTTGGTCCACTCAAGGACCAGAAGTCCCAGTAGAAGCTCAACCTCAAATTCAACGAAGCCACACTGAGATCTAAGCCTCTGATGGAAGGCAGAGGTCGTTCAGAAGTCATCGAAGGTGAGCTCGACGAAGCCGCATTAAACCTAAAGCCGAAACCCCCAAAACCCAGATTTCGCTGCCCTTCAATTTCGTTATAAGCGACCAGTCGAATACCAAAATCCCCAAACTCCCCTTCGATTTCGTTGCTGGATGCGTCTTGCAGTTTCGATCGATGCCAATTTGAGGTTAGAGTGAAAGAATGAGGAAGAGAAAGAAATGGATGAGGTTGTTAGGATCAAGTGGGAGGGCAGCAATGGTGTTTGTAAGGGAGGGGAAATAGGTTCCACCTTTTTTTTTATGGGTAATTTGTTTCAGATCTTATATATATTTTTGGTTGATTCTTGTGTTGAAAACAAATATGGGTACTTTTTTTTTTTTTATGGGGGAGGGGTTGTTGTTTGATCATGCTACTGGTTGTTGTTTAGGTTGCAGATGGGGGGAAGAAATGGGTAGCAGGTGAGGACACGACTTGGAAGAAGAAATCAAGGCAAGGTTTTGAGGTGGTGAGGAAGGTGGGGCAAAATTCATAGTGAGGCCTTGGGGTTTTCTGGGTTGCTTCAGGCTTTGCAGATGAGGAAATTGATGGTGGTGGTTATGGAGGAAGAAGCTTTGTTGGTGCAGAAGTGATGGGGGATGGGGGTGGTTATGGTAGAAGGGTGGCTCGGGTGGGGAAAGGGGTGGTGGTGGTGGTGGGAGAAGGGGTAGCTCATGTGGAGAAGAAGAAGATGAAGATTTGAGTTCTTTTTTCTTTTTCTTTTTAATTAATTATTTTAATGTTTTAAATTTTTTATTAAATATTTAGTCACTTTTCACAAATGTATCAGTCACGTCAGTACAAATGATGACCTTATATTTGTCACGTCATTACTTAACGGTTAATTTAACAGATTTTTTTAACAGTTGTATGAAATTGAAAAAAAATAATAGTAAATGTATGAAATTGAAATGTTTTAAGGATGTTGTATGAGGTTGTAATTGCACTCAAACCTGAGTTGGTATTATGTAATTTACCCAATAATATACACAAAATAAGTTGAGCAAAATAATAATATTATGTAAAGAAATACCATTACACGAGTAATCTTTTTAATCAATAAAAAATTGTGCGCATGCCAGTATACCGTCGTCTTATAACATAAATGAACGACCTAATTTATGTCTTATTTTTCAATAAAAAAAAACAAATATACCTGTTTTAATTGAAATTAAATAATAACGCCTGGATTATTTATACACCAAAAAATCCGGCCGGTGGATGAAAGAATGAATCCAAATGACGATTGTGACTGTTGGGGTACGGGCCATGCAGCTACGGCAAGCCAGGTCCATCTTCACATTAAAATCATGCCATTTGGGCTTTCTGCCGAATTAAAACTTTTTTTTTGATACATAAAGATTAATAATTAGGAACATGTGATTTGCATTTTTTTTTTTTTTGGAAACGGAATATGTGATTTGTTTATAAGAAATTTTCATGAAAAGCTTCCGGTATTGTTTACTTTAATGAAAAATCACATTTTTATATTAAAAAATCAATCATAGTATTATTCATTTTACCTTTTATTTTGTCTTTATTGTTAAAACTCAAAATTTTCAAATCATTTTCATTAGTTTTCTTTTGTTTATATTCCGGTTTGAAACATGTTTACGTCTTGAGTGGTGCCTGGTTTGGCATGAGATCAGCCACATACTTTTTTTTATTTTTTATTTTTTTATCTGACGAATTTTCGCACGGCAAGAGTGAGTGGAACCAACATCTGTTCTCGTAAGCCCTGCGGCAAATGCAACAGCAATATCCCCAACGGATAATTTTTTTCAAAATTTTAAATTAAAATTAGAAAGAAAAAATAACTAAAATACGAATTAAAATTTGGAAAAAAAATATGAAAAATCCAAACCATCTTCTTCACTCCTACACTAAAAATCTAACATGTCCACTATTGATCAAATAACTTAATTATAAAAGTAAAAATACATATATTTGTGAATTTAATTGCCTATTTTATTTATTTATTTTAAACAAACGTTATTATCTATATTAAGAAAATGGGGTGGGCATAGACTTACAATGGGCAAACAATAATGTGGTTCAAATTCGTTTTTGGCAAGAATCAAACCTAAAACCTCTCATTTACTAAGAATATTACCAAACCGTACTATTAAGTGACAATTGCCTATTGTCAATGGTAAAACAGATAATATTGCACAAACACAAATGGAGCATTTTTGCTCACCACTATAAACGATGTGCATGTTTATCATATACATATATCTAATCAATTGACATGTGTTCTTTCAGTTAACCTTAGTTATTTTTTTTTCAAAATTGAAACATTTAATGTGACAATTAACTAAAATAAGATAAAAGAATATATATCAATTGATTAGGTGTATGGTAAGCGCACACCTTAATTATGAAGGTGATAAAAAATGCCTCGAAACACAAACACTTTACAGAAAAAATGGTAATTATCATTGGGCTGGGCTTGCCTTGTCGAACTGATCGGATTGGTGTTAGACCAACCTTGCGTTTGGCAAATAAATGAACGATCAAATAAAACAAAAGCAAAAATGAAACATGGGACGTGGGGATAATTATGCCGCAAAAGGACCAACTCCAGAACCTTCTTGTAGTAATTCCATCAAGCATTCGTAGTCACGCGATTTGGCTTCGTCACGGAACCCATTGTTGCGCTTTCGCCTGAGAAGATCCTCGAAGCTTTCCGCTCACAGAAAAAATGGCGCGACCTCTACGACACGGCTTCAACGTCGCCCGAGCGCACGTGCTTTCGCGGCCGCGATGGGCGTCGTCGCAGTCAGCGGAGGCACTGGTGGAGGTCAAAGTCTCCGACATAGGCATGATATCGGGAATCCCCGAACAGCATCTCCGACGAAGGGTCAGCTCTTCAATTACTCGTCGTTTTTAAAATTTTAATAATATTCTTTTTAAATTTGAAAATTTTGATTTATTTTTCAAAATTTGGAGAAAATTTAATCCTGGATTTGGGTGTGATTAGGTTATAATCTATTCGCCTGCTCGAACTGCGACCCAACAAGGTTCTGGAAAAGTCGGGAAATGGAAAATTAATTTTCTTTCGACGCAAAAGTACGTATATTGATGTCTTAATCATGTTTTGCATGCATAATTAGGTGATGTTTATAGTTAATTTCATCGATTTTACATAATTAATTGTGTATCTATAGTATAGTTATCTCAGCTGTGTTGTGCGTCCTTGAAATTTTATGAGCAATATTGGTTGATCTGGAATTCCATTATTGGATGCTAATTATTGAAGAATGTAAACATTCCCAATTGGAAAATTGACGAAATAAAACACAATATGAAAACTAACTGCACCGAGAGCTTTTGCGATAAAACCCCACACCTGCCATGTGGTGAAGAGGAGGGAATATGCAAGATATGAGAGTGAAGAAGCTGCAAGGGCATTTGCTGAGAAATATGGCTGGGATTATACGGTCTGTGCATCTTTAAGTTTTGATCTTTCCGTGATGATAGAACTTCAAAATGTTTTGGATTTTCTGTAGTTTTATCATATGTTTAAGTAAAAAGGAAGGCTTTATGCTTAGGATTGGATTGAATTAGATAACTCACTATATTCAAGATGCGTAGATATCTTATGTTAAAAGGAAAAAATGACAATTTTTGTCCAACTTGAAACCTATTCCACCCAATCCCCAATGTTAGATTATGAGGGATGGATCAGTTTCCTTGTATAATCCCTTATATCACCTCAAAATAGAAACTCATTTACCTCCACCTGGTAACGGACCTTGAATTTTATGAGTTATCCAGTCCAATCCTAGGCACGAAATGATCCTAATGTTCCACAAAATTTTTGTATGGAATTGAATATATTGTGTGGAAATTGACCAAAATTATGTACATTCTTGACACAATGAACTGTATTTGCAGGTCAGGAAGCGTCACACACCACTTTTGAAGGTTTGAAATTCTCCTACCAACTTATTTGAAGATGAAATAACTAGTTTCTCCAATGGGATCTCAGAACACTTCAAGTATCATCTAAATCTTATGACCATTTGTAGGCTAAGGCATATGCAGACAACTTCAAGTGGAAGGGCCCTGATAAGAGTGAGAAGACTGCAGCTGATGCTGTAAACATCTGAGAACGTTATTTCCTCCCCCAGAATGTCCTTACCCACACCTGCAAATGCCATTGTGCGCGGTACTTCAGACCAATAGCGCAAACAATGGCGTCAAGTCGTGGGTGTAGGTAACTCTCTCGTTCAATGCTATCAGTACTTATGCTTGTGTGTTAGTACTTGTGTGTGATTGTTGTATTGGAAAATAAGTTGAGATGAACAAGCATTTTTTCTCTCTTAGAAAGCTGGCCAAACTTTACATATACTTCCTCTGGCTATATGCACGCATAAAACATATATATACTAGACACTTAAGGACCTAAGATGCATTGTTTCCCCTAGTGAGCTAGCTACACTACTCCTCATAATTACTGTAGAAAATTTTCAAGCACTTGACCTGGAGGACTGACAACCCTCCCTGCTGTGGGTGTGGAACCTCCATTCAAAGAGGTAGTCCTTGGACTCACAGGACAGCTTCATCACGTCACAGAATGTGTTGATCGTGTGCTTGTTCATCTCGTTCCCCCATTCAATCCTCACCCAGCACGAAAACCCGTTTGAAGAAACGGGCACCCCGGAACCAGAAAGCTGCAGACTGACCTCCCCGCTGATCCTCTTGCCTCCGAACCGCCCATCTCCGGCCACGATGACATCAAGCCATGGGCACTCTGGCTGTCCCACCATCTCCTTGTAGGCAGAGTTTGCTATCCTCACTTTTTTGTGCGAGTCTGATATGACTGCTGGCAGGGCTTTAGACTCCATCTCCTCCTCAACGTCATCTGGTTTCTTAGGAGCTTGCGCTGCCGGGGCTAGACTTGGGTCTGCGCTGATGCATCCGACACTTATGTTGGAACCTACCAGTCGAATTGGCTGCGGCTCTATGACATTGTTGTTTGTTGGTGGAGGTGCAGGGGAATTCCCCTGTAGTTGCTTGAGCAGATCTTTTTCCTCTGGGATTTCAGCCGCTACGATGTTCAAATCAATCAAATTCTCCTCTCCTCCGCAGGGTTTCATCAACTCGAGTTCTGCCGGAACCACTGCTTGGTTTGTGGCAATTGGGACCGACGACGGAGGGATGTATGGCAGAAGAGGCAGAGTCATCAAAGCGGCGGTGTTGGCGGTGTCGAAGCTTCCGTAAAGCGCACGAGCAAAACCGTCCAATCTCAGATTTTTCACCGGAGATTGCACATGACAATGAGTGGAGAATCCTAGCATGTGATGACTCATCTGCCTCTTAAAGGTGATGGGAGAGAGAGCGGTTCGACCTCGCTTTCGAGTCCTGGTGGGTCTGGCCTGGAATCGTGGCCAGAGGTTTCTAAGGTAAGAAGAGTCCCTGATTTTCTGAGACATGGACGGTTTATCGCCTGCTGGGTTTGCTGTTATCTCAGGTTGCGGCGCTATGGGCCTGTATCTGGACATAATCTCAGCGGTTTTTTCCGCGTCGGTGTAGGGGTTCAACGTCTTGATCATGTTATGGCGGTAGGCGGTTCTCTTCGCTAACGCCGGCCTACCAGCTGTTCGGTAATGACGGTGGTGGCGACGGCGGTAGGGAGGCAAAAGAGAGAGCGCTGGGAGACATGTAAAGGAAGGAGGAAGGGATTTGGGAGGAGGTTGGTTGGGGGGGGTTTAGAGAGGGATTGGAGTTCTTAAGAGTGAGACTTGACCAATCAGAGAAGGGCAGCATAAATGGAAGAGTAAGAAGAGATTGACACTTGGAATTTTACGGTGGGTACGTGTTTGTGAGGGCTCACAGAAAATATGTCCATGTAGGCAAAAATTCTTAGGTGCTCTGGTACTCCGATTATTTTAATCTTTATATTTTAATTTTTTAATTGCAAACAAGTATTTAAAATATGTGGATACCGGGTAATCCAGGCCACTGGCCAGGAGGATCTCGCCGGGCCTTTCAATCACAACGATTCATCATATATCGTGCGGTTATAAATTATTATAAATTTTTTTAATTTAAAATTGAATATAAACAATATTTGACAAAAATTGATTGCACGATATACGATGAACAGATGTGATTAAAAGATTTCGGATCCTTACTCAATCGAGGCATTCAAGGAAATATGCCATGTAGGACTTCGGTTGGGTCCATTTTTCTGTGCTGGGTATAAGGCTCGGTACACCCACCAATCAGACGCCTGGCTTTGCATGCAATTTTCTCTAAAACTGGGACCCTCTCACGACAACGTGTGTGCGTTTTGGCCGCCATACGTGGAATCAGATTGGTGGGTGAAGGCCTCATAAGGTTAAAACGTTACAGAGAGAGGGAGAGAGGAGAGAACGGACTATGAGCGGCGCGATTTGAAAACGTGGTCTGTGCAGCTAGGGCTCTGCGTGACGCTGCGATGCTTTGGGTGCTCGCCAGGCCACTGAGTGAGTGGTGGTTGCGTGGGAGGCGCCGGACGAAAAACGGATGCGGCGGGGGGGGGGGGGTTGGTGTAGGCTATTGGGTTAGGTAGTGAGCCCCATGCCACTATAGTAAGTGGGCTTTTTCTTTTTGTTGCAAATCAATGGTGATGGCCATAGTCCATAATAAAGCCCAATATCTTGGATACAAGATAATGTAGGTGGTCCATGACTACAGTTTGACATTGCTTTTGTAACAAGTAGTTTTTGGTACTAAAGCATTACCCATCAAATGTTCATGAATTACTCTATTAATATTTTCCCAATGAATATGATTACTCTAGTTAATCCGTCCTTAAACCACTAATAAACTGCTGACGAGGAGTCCAATGCCCAATGGGGTGCAAACATTTTACAAAATAGAAAAATGAAGTCGTGAGTGTGCACCACCCTCATATAATAAGTCATCCATTATGTTCAAAAAAATTTGTTTAAAAAAAAGAATGAAAAACAAAAACAAAATATAAGTAAAGCAATGTGTTAATGCATGGTCCTTTTCGGCCCCTCGAAACGATGCAGCCTAAGAAAAGGCCCGAGTAAGACCTAGTTTGGGAGTGAGGTGCTTAAAAAAAAAGCACCTGTGAAAAAAAACTATGAGGGTTTTAGGTGTTTGGTAAACTGAAAAAAAATAGCTTATTTTGGAAGCTGCTGTGAGAATAAGCTGAAATCAAAGGAAAAAGCTGAAGCTGCTATTTGCAGCTTTGGAAAATTGGCTTTTTTTCAAAGCACACGGAGCTATAGTGCTCCTTTAATGAAAAGACCCACTATCAGACTGCTTTTTTTTTCCAAAAGCACTTTTACAAAAAAGTTTACCAAACGCTCTGCTGATTTATTTCACAGCCGCTTATTCTCACAGCACAGCCGCTTATTCTCACAGCAGCTTTTTTTCAAAGCACAGCAATACCAAACCAGCCCTAAGGACCAAGGACCAAGGAAAGAAGAGAAGACTAGGACCCAAAGGAGGAAGGGAGGGCGAAAGACCTCAGGAATTAAGAGGACCAACTCTTTGGCATTGATAGGTTATCTCTTGAGTGCTAGGCATGCAGTGCTGGGCAGATTGTTGGGCATCCAGTGCCGGCCAAGTTGCTCTACCGAGACCACTAGAGAAAGGTGCTCTACTTAGACCAACATACCAGAATGCTATTAGGCATGAGGAATTCGGATCCTCTTTGTGAGGATTTCGGATATTCATCAATCTTGTCCTACATCATGCAGTTATAAATTATTTTAAATATTTTTATTTAAAATTAAACACAAACAGTACTTAACAAAAACTGACCGTATGATATACGATGAACGGACACGATTCACGAATCCTCACCGAAAATATCCGGAGAGGATCCTGTTGGAGGCATGAGTGCTAGGCATGTAGTGTGCTCTACCGACGACCACCTCCTAGAGTGATCCACGAAAGACCATTAAATGGAGGCACGTTAACGAAGGTAGATATTTATTAGAGTTTGTTAGTCAAGATATTTATTAAGTGGATAGAAAGATGCCACGTCACCTTGTAAGTGTGGACTTTTCCTAGCCCCACACACATCATCACCTTATAGTGGAAGGTCTCAAAGCCTGTGCAAGGAGGCCATTGGAGCAATTTCACCCCTAAGACCAACTTTAATGGTGGATTAAAGGTCAAATTATCCTCTAAAATTTCTTCCCAAACCCAATCTAACTCAAGGGGAAAATTTGGGTTAAATGCTAAACCAATGCCAGATTCCCCTCAAAATTTAGCCCAAAAATCGGAATTTAATTTTTTTTAGATTAAAATGTTCATAAAATTAATTTACGATAGTCTACATATTTATTTAAAAAAATATAATTTAACAAAAAAAAAAAAAAGCATAAGTTCATTCTTTAATAATCTTGGGCTAAAATTTTAGGGGAGAACGGTTGGAGCAGAAAAGCTGTTTCTGGGCTAAAAGCTAAATTTTTCGGGTTAAAATATTTGGCTTTTAGCCTAACCATTGGAGATGGTCTAAAGACTTTGCGCTAGCACTATTTATCCACTCAAGTGAACAGTAATAGACCCCAGTGAACAGTAATAGGCTAAAACATCTCCACCCCTAAAAAAATACGCTGGTACCCAGTCTAAAAATGAGCTAGCACAAACGATTTTCATCCCTACAAAATGCGCTGGCACCCAGCCCATTTAAAATATTTTACATTTTTTAAAAAAGAATAAATAAATAAAATAGTTTTATTTTCAGATAAGATTTTTAACCAATTTCGGATAAAATTTCAAATAAACTTTAAAAAACACACTAAAATAAAATTACATACTCATCAAATAAACTTTAAAAAACACACTAAAATAAAATTACATAAACTCATCAAATAAATTGAAGAAAAAAAACACACTAAAATGAAAGTGTAGAAAATATTGAAATGTGATGTAAGGTGGAAGATGATGGTTAGGTATTTATAGAAAAAAAAATAACTTTTTTAAAAATTTTCTATATTTTTTTTAAAAAAATTCTGTATTTTTTAATGATTGTTATGTATTTTTTAATAATTTTTAATAAATTTTAATATAGTTAATTAATCTGGACAGTTGGATTTAAAAAATATTCAAATCCAAGAGCCAAGGCGTTGCCACATGGCCAACGGTCATAATTCTGACAGTTGGGCCTTTTTTTTATTATTTTTATTTTTATTTTTTTGTGAAAAAAATGTGGACCATTGATCTGTGATCGGACGGTCCATTTTAAAAGTCAATTTTTTTTTTTTTTTTATCGTTGGAAATCCAACAGTACTGAGAAGGGCCACGTAGCTCTGATTCGGGTGAACACAAGTGGGCTGACAAGTGGGCCTCGCCACTTGCACCCTTGTCTCATACTTACGCCCAGTCGCGAGTATGCTGCACGCGCCAGCCAAATAGCCCGGCCTTTGGGTCTGTCCGAAATGGGTTGGTCTGTTGCCTGGCTTGGGCTAAGTGCCAGGCTATTTTGGGGGCTGGAGCAGATTAACAGGGTGCTAGGCTGATTTTTGGATAGGGTGCTGGGCAATTTTGTGTCCAGTGGAATTGCTCTTATGTAAGTCCATCTCAAACCGAAGGGTCCAGAGAGCCAAAGGGCCGAAAATTGCCCGAAAATCGTCTCCAATAGAGGGCCAGGCCAGAGGGTTGTGGAATTAGAGAGGGCCCCACGGAATTAGAGAGGGCTAGAGAGCCAGAGGGCTAACCATTTCCAGTCAGCTAGCCCTGGGCTGGCAAGACTTTTTTTAAATGTGTCGGATTTCCTGTCGGTTATAACCGACAGTAATACATTTATACTAAATAATATGAATGTATTCTTGTCGGTTATAACGGACTGCTTTGAATTTTTTTTTACAAAATTTTTCCTATAACTTCTATTTTTTATTTTATTTAAATTCTATTTTTTTCCTATAATTTTTATTTTACAAAATTTGTTTCATATATTTTTTTAAATTCCATTTGTTTCGTATTTTTTTTAATTCTATTTTTTTCCTATAACTTCCTAAGTCATTATACAACATTAAATTAAATTAAGTAACATGAAACAACATTAAACAATATGAAACAACATTAAATAATATTAACCAACATAAAAAAAATATTTAACAACATGAAACTTAAACAACATTTAAGTTGTAGTTTTTAAATAATAAATTATGTTTGGCTCTATGGCCCTTTGGCCCTCGGTTGGAGACAATTTTTTGTGACAGGACTCAAATGAGCCCTCTGGCCCTTTGGCCCTCGGTTGGAGACGGAGGCAAATATGGCCATGTAATGTTCATTAAAATATTAATATCTTGGAGGATCATGAAATGAAGAAGGCTAAAACGAGCATTCTAGCCAGCCATCGGTTGGACCCTTCGATCTGGGGAGGGCTTCCAAGCCAATTCGAATGTATCATAAATAAATAAATAGACTACAGTGGACGTAGCTTTGTTTACGAGCAAACCACTGTATACTTTTGTATTTATTTCATTTCAACCTATATCTCAAGCCCACCAAAGGTTTCATATTTTAATTTGTTAACTTTTATGTTTTGAACATTAACACAATACTTAGGAGTTAGGATTGCCTCCTTTTATCTATTTCGATTATGATTAACGTATCTTTATTGTCTATATCTCATAGTTCAAATAGTTCATTCGATATCACGATTACAGATTAAAATAAATTTAGAAATTTATTAGTAATCCACATACATTGAACAAATTGATGATTTTGGTAATAATTAAAATTCTGGCAATGAACATTAAATGGTAAACTTAACAAACAAATGGTTTCGGTTAAGACAGGTATGCGCTGAGAACTCGTCAGTCACAACTAGTGCGGATAAACATACTACCTAATTTTTGTCCTTAAAAAAGTTATATTTGACGATAAGGATTGAAGTTGTCACCCGTTATGTTAGTTTCACGATGGAAATGGACAAAAATGACCTTCAATTTGACGGAAATATGAGGGTAAAAATGACAACTTACTAAAGTTGCAAAAGTCGAGAGAGCAAATAAAAAAAAAAAAAAAGTTATCGGTATTATTCACTTTAAAAAAAATCACATTTTTATATTAGAAAGTCAATTATGATACTATTCACTTTACCTTTTATTTTATTATTTTAATTAAAACTCAAAAATTTCAAATTATTTTCATTAGTTTTATTAAAAACAAATTAGAAATTGCCATTGTTTTTTTCTTCAAACGATGAAAAAATGGTGAAAAAGACTTTGTCCTTGTCTTTGGGATTGGCTCATTCATTTGAATCATTTCTTTAGTGAACTGTGGAGCGAAAAATCGCCCCATTTCGGAGTATTCAAAAATGGAGGTCACCAAATTCAAGAGGCCCCAATCTTTGCCCGCCAACTACGTCACCATCAACGATCTCAAGGAGCGCTGGCTCAGAGACCAGGAACGAAAACAGAAGGAGGAAGAACGACGGCAAGAGGAGAAGAAACGACAGGAAGAGGAGGAAAAACGACGACAAAAGGAGGAGGAACAACGAGAAGAAAAGCTCAGGCAGCGGAAGCTCCGAGAAGAGGAGGAAAAACGACGACAAGAGGAGAAGGAACGGCGAGGAGAAGAGCTCCGGCAGCGGAAGCTCCGAGAAGAGGAGGAAAAACGACGACAAGAGGAGAAGGACCGGCGAGAAGAAGAGCTCCGGCAGCGGAAGCTCCGAGAAGAGGAGGCGAATCAGAAGAAACAAAAGGCCGTCGTTTGGAAACCCGAAACCGGTTCCAAGCCTAGGTATGGTCGTAATCGGGGACAGTGTCGGCCGGTTAATCGGAGCGTTTCGGGGCGCGAGGGGGCTGAGCTGGAGGGGAAAAAAAGCGAGGAAGAAGAGCCCAAGGATAACGCCATCGTTAAGAGAACAGAAGCGGATGACAAGCCGAAGAATCGCGGTAATCGGCTAGAGTTTCGGCCGGTTAATCGGAGTGTTTCGGAATGTGAGGGTGCTGAGCTGGAGGGAAAAAGAAGCGAGGAAGGAGAACCGAAGGAAAGCGGCGTCGTTTGGAGAACCGGAACCGGTAATAATCCGAGAAATGAGACACAGTTTCGGACGGTGAATCGAAGTGGCCGGGCACCCTTGTTGGAGGGGAAAAGAAGCGTGGAAGAAGAGGCGAAGCAAAATGCCGTAGTCCAAAGAACCCAAACCGCTAACAAGCCGAGGAACCGAAGTGATCGGGGACAGTTTCGGCCGGTTAATAGTGGTGGTCGGGCACCCTCGCTGGAGGGGAAAAGAAGCGAGAAAGAAGAGCTTAAGCAAAACGCTGTTGTTCAGAGAACCGAAGCCGCTAACAAGCCGGGGAACCCAAGTGATCGGGGACAGCTTCGGCCTGTTAATCGGGGTGATCGGGTACCCTCGCTGGAGGGGAAAAGAAGCGAGGAAGAAGAGCCGAAGCAAAATGCCGTCGTTCAGGGAACCAAAATCGATAACAAGCCGAGGGATCGAAGTGAACGGGGACAGTTTCGGCCTGTTAATCGGGGCAATCGGGGCAATCGGGCACCCTCGCTGGATGGGAAAAGAAGCGAGCAAGAAGAGCTGAAGCAAAACGCCCTCGTTCAGAGAACCAAAATCGATAACAAGCGTCATCGGGCACAGTTTCGGCCAGTTAATCGTGGTGTCTCGGAGCGTGAGGGTGCTGAGATGGAGGGGAATGGAAGCGAGGAAGAACAGCCGAAGCAAAACGGCGTCGTTCAGAGAACCGAAACCGATATCAAGCCGAGGAATCGGAGAGATCGGGGGCAGTTTCGGCCGGTTAATCGGGGGGTTTCGGAGCTCGAGGTTGCTGAGCTGGAGGGGAAGAAAAGCGAGCGAGCAACCAGAGGAGAAGAAGAAATGGACGAAGAAGAAGAAGCAGAAGGGTAACAAGAAGTGGAAGAAGAATGCTAGGGAAGATAAGGAGGAGGTGACTGAGAAGGAAGGTGGAGTGGATGCGCATACAGCAAGTGCCGAGAAGGAAAGTGATCGGGCGACTGGAAAGGAAGAACAGGGAGTAGGAATAGAAATTGAAACTGAAATTAGGGCAAAGAGCGTGAATGTGGGTCCGGTGACGGAGATGGTGCCCAAATTTGGGGGTTTATCGGTGGATGGTGAGGCCGGAAAGGGGGATGATCAGCTGAGGAGGTGGACTGGAGCTGATGGCCTCGGTAATGGTGAAATTAGGGGTTATGGTAAGAGAGATGGCCGCTTTGATTTGCAGAGACAGAGAGGTTCTGGGTTTAGGGTTTGGGTTAAGAAAGGTGAGGTTGCTGACGGCAATGGTGGCGGAGTTTAGAGCTTGGAGGGGAGTAATGCTGTTTCTGGTGAGTCAAAATTCACTCTGTGTTTAAGCAATGCCTTTGTTTTATTGTGTGCTATGGATGTTTGCTATTTGATCATTGCCTATTTAACTGAGTTTAGATATAGGGAATGCAAGATTTGAACAACAAAAGGTTTTGGTATGCTGAGAATCATAATGTATCATGAACTAGAGTATTTCGAAGTTACAATGTTGTGGGAAAAGGTAGTTTTCGTGTCTGATAAGATTAGGAACAATAGGGATTGATAGTTTGAGCGAAAGATTTGATGCATAGCAATGATCAAAAGTTAAAAACTTCGTAGGAGAATTACAAATGTTATTAGAAGATTTGACTTGAGGAGAACACGCGGTGTAATATCAGGGTCAGCCGGTATTCTTGTAGGTTACCAGAAGGGAAGTATAGGCGCTGCTGGACACGGTTGATGGTTTTGTTGTTATTTCGTTTCTTGATTCAAATTTCTCTTCAATTAATACTGGAAGTCAGAAATATGAGTTGATCTGCACGCAACCAGCTATCGATGATTACAGGAATTTACGAACGTTAAACTAGGATTTAAAAGGTTGAAATTATTGACAACCCACCGAAGTTGTGGAATGTAAAATAGTTTGATTCATCATTTCCACGAGGAGTTTAGCAGACAATATTTCATGCGTACCATTTCCTCTTTATGAACCTACTTTACCCGAAGGCAACATTGTTTCGTTTAGAATTGCAGCTTTAAGAGTAAATTTTCTTTTTCATGATTGCTCTGCAGGTCCGAGTGGAACATGTTTGAATGCAAGTTCACTGAAGTTGGCTGGGAAGACGAGCTAGAATTATCCAACAAAGAGGGGGCGAAACAGATCTGAACCAGAACTTGTCGCGCTGATGCAGTGGTTTAGTTGATGACTTGTAAATGCACCGGATGACATTCATATTTCGGTTTGTTGATTGATCTAATCATTATTCGGGTACTTTTACTTGATTATTGATCATGATTTCGGGTGGAACTAATCGTGATCTCGGCATTTGAATTTCATGTCTGAAGAGATGGTGATGTTCTGTTATCAAAATGTGTTGGTATTTTCATGACTTTCATTAAAATCTCCATGTCTTCTAAGCTCTCTCCCCTCCCTCTGATTCTTGTGTATCCGATCATTTTTAAGATACACAATCATGCTATGATTTCCGCTTTAATCATCATAAATCAGGAATTATTTTCGATTTTCTAGGAAACTGAGGTCCGTAATTAGTACGGAAGTGATTTCCGCACACCAAGTGTCCTCTTGCACACTCTAATTGAGGTTGAAAAATAGAGCAAGTGTGAGCGGAAATCATTTCCTAGTTAATATTCAATGAAAGTATCTTATTATTACTTAGAATCATTTCAATAAAATGACCTGTCCAAACCTTTGAAGCAAATTTTATTCAATTTTTCCACTAAAACAAAATCGTTTTTCAGTTTTGAAATCATCAAGTTTAAGACCATGTACTTTATGAAAAAAATCTGAATTTTTGTTCGACCAAATACTAATTACCACATAAGATTTCAAATTTTCAATTATTATTGGTTAATTAAAATTTGTAACGGTCGACTTACTGGTTATATTCCCGCGCAATAAAAGGGTGTGCCACTTATCTCTCTTCCTACTTCCTAGCACTCTAGCCTCTCTTTGGTTCTCCACCCTCCTCCGTTAACCCCTTCAACTAGCAAAAAACATGGCCCAAAACGGGGGCGGTGGTAACAATAACAACGGTAATGGTGGTGGTACTAATAACAGCAACAGTGGTGGGGGAAACAACAACAATAATAATGGTTGCGCCCGTGGTGGAGGTAACAACAGCAACAATGGTGGTTTCCGTGGCGGTGGCAACAACAATAACAATAATGGTGGTGGTAATGGCGGCGGTGGTAACAATAATAACAATAATAGTGGTGGCCGTGGTGGCGGTAACAATACCAATAACGGTGGTGGTAGCGACGGCGGTTGTAACAATAACAACAATAATGGTGGTGGCCGTGGTGGCGGTAACAATACCAATAATGGCAACGGAGGGAACAACAACAACAACAACAACAACAGTAATGGTGGTGGCAACAAGGAGGCAGAGGAGTTGCAGCCTCACCCAGTGAAAGAGCAGCTACCCGGTGTTCAGTATTGTGTCAACAGCCCTCCGCCGTGGCGTCAGTATACTAATCCTCGCTTATTACTATAATTACAATCTTGATTACTTGGTTTTCGGAATAATTATTAGCCAAGTTCTTCAAATTCTGAATCTTCAAACTTTGATGGTTTTTGCAGCGGAAGCTGTGATGCTGGGTTTCCAGCACTATCTGTTGACTCTTGGTATTACTGTCTTCATCCCAACCATGTTTGTTACTCAAATGGGCGGAGGCGATGTAAGGATTTCATTACTAAGTTTCACTTTCTTTTTCTCGGTCATGTTTTCGTGATCGATGTAGTCTGGCAAGTGGCAATGGACCGGACATCCGTTCTTTGTTGTTGATACAATTCCGACAGGAAAGTGATATCCAGACATCCCTTTCTCCTATGCACACCACAATTTATTTCTGACCTTCGGAATGAAGAGACATAAATAGCAGAAGTATGCAGAAGGAGGAAAAGGGTGTACAGAAATCATTTCTTTTCCGACCATATCGGTCACACCGATACTTCAACAAAGAATTGACTTCACAGATAATTTCTGTTCTCGATACTCCCATTTATTAGATTCGTCGACTCATTCATTCCTTTTTCCTCCCCACAGATTGAGAAGGCCAGAGTGGTGCAAACCATGCTGTTTGTTTCGGGGTTGAACACATTGTTGCAATCTCTGTTTGGGACCAGGCTTCCCACAGTGGTGGTGGGTTCCTACACATATATAATCCCCACAACTTCAATAATCCTAGCCAATAGATATAAGGCATTCACAGATCCTCATGAGGTCAGGCTTCAAATTAATAATTTTGGTTTTTGAAATATTAATTTCCTATCTCAATTTCTTGACTTGGCCTTCTTGATGAACTTTTCAGAGGTTTTCGGAGACAATGAGAGGTATACAAGGCGCTCTAATCATCACTTCCTGTTTTCAGATGATTGTGGGTTTCCTGGGGTTGTGGAGAAACGTTGTAAGGTTAGTCGTTCTGAACTGGAATGTTTTCGATTTTTTGGTTTTGGATTCATTCATGAACTTCTCAAACTAGTGGTACTGTAGATGTTTGATAATTTGAATTTCTTGTGACCCAAGTTTCTTGACTTACTGATTTAGGTTTCTTAGCCCTCTTTCTGTTGTCCCATTCATAACTTTTGCCGGACTCGGGATCTACAATCTTGGTTTCCCTCTGGTACAAAGCTCTTAATCCTCCATTATTTGCTCATATATGATGTTTATTAGTTTTAAACCATCTGGTAAAAAAAGCTCTATTCTCCTTCTAGTTGGCGAGGTGTGTTGAACTTGGGCTTCCAGAGTTGGTCATCATGGTTTTCATCTCACAGGCAAGTTTTCGATACCACAAGTATACGAAATCATAAGACAAGTCTTTTTCCTGGAGGTTTCTCATTCAAGTCTTACGCATTGCAGTTTCCTTCTCGTTTCATACATACAAAGAAGCAAATCTGCCACAGATTTTCCGTGCTGTTCTCTGTTGCAATTGTATGGCTGTTTGCGCAAATTCTAACCTCAAGTGGAGTGTATAACAACACACCAACAAGTACTCAGATTAGTTGCCGCACTGATCGTTCTGGCCTCATTGGTGCAGCTCCCTGGTGAGCATTTGTAATGCAAACTGCAATTATCGACCAGTAATTCCTTTCCTTTGTTGAACATTTTGAAAACAATACATCTTGTCTTTTTTTTGTTGTTATGATATGCAGGATATATATTCCGTATCCATTTCAATGGGGGAGCCCCACTTTTAATGCTGGAGAAGTTTTTGCAATGATAGCTGCTTCTTTTGTTTCGATCTTTGAGGTTCACATCGATCTCTTGTAGCTCAAATTATATGTAATAGTTAGCTAACTGCAATGAATCAGTAGAGAAATCTGCCTTTTCAAAGCCTATCACAAATATTATTTACCAAATATGTTTATAATGATAATTTACCTTCAATGCCTGCAGTCCTCTGGTACATTTTTTGCTACAGCAAGATACGGAAGTGCCACGCCCGTACCTCCTTCTGTCACAGGCCGTGGCGTTGGCTGGCTGGTACGACATCTTTAGCTGTTGTTTTTTAGTTTAGAATTTCGACCCTCATTGATTCTAGGCGCTTTTGAATTTCAGGGTGTAGGAGTGCTACTTAATGGGATGTTTGGTTCTCCAACTGGCACTACTGCATCAGTGTAATGAGCTGAATCCTCGTATTAGTTCGTGTGAAAAATTCGATCAAATTTATCCTTTCAGACTTTATGTCTTTACGAATGTGTAAAAATGCAGCAAGATCCTACCCTTATGATTCTTACTTCACCGAACTTATCTCCTCATTACCGCTCGTTATTTTCTGCTTAGGGAAAACGCTGGTCTATTAGCATTGACAAGAGTTGGAAGTCGAAGAGTCATCCAAATATCAGCTGGTTTCATGATTTTCTTCTCTATATTTGGTATGCTGCCAATCACACGGCATAACCGTGCGATTTTATTCTTCATCAGTATCCCACCAGAAAAACTCCTTTGGAACATGTCGTATGAATCTCCCTCCTGACGTGATACGCAAGGGAAGAAACAGACAATTGTTTCATACAACATGTTGCATGGAAGCTCCTTTTGTATGCTAAATGTTTCTCTTGTTGCCTAATGGTGCTCTTTTGAATCAGGAAAATTTGGAGCACTTTTCGCTTCTATTCCAACACCGATCATAGCAGCTCTTTCTTGTGTCTTATTTGGCTACGTTGGTAAGTCTTTCTGTTCTTTAAACATCTGATTTTTCCAATGTCAGATTCCAGTGCCTTAACATTTCAAAGTCACTTGCAGCTTCTGCAGGCCTTAGTTTTCTCCAATTTTGTAACCTCAACAGCTTCAGAACGAAATTCGTACTAGGCTTCTCTTTCTTCATGGGAATTTCGGTACCACAATACTTCCGAGAGTACAGGTCCGACCATACTCAAAGCGGGCCTAGATGGGTGAGGATTTCAATTTTAGTAACCACGGTTCTAGTTTTGTGAGTTCGGTCACTGTACTTGATTTCGTTGGAATCAAGTCCAACTGCTAACTTCCGCCTTATTTTTTCGGTTCATTTACTTTCAGTTAGAGGACATGGTGAATGTGATCTTCATGTCCCACACAACGGTAGCTGCTCTTGTTGCCCTAATCTTAGATTGTTCTCTGTCCCGTGACAACGATGCAGCTCGAAAAGACAGCAGTTTAAACTGGTGGGAGAAGTTCGGTTTATATGGTTCAGATGTTAGGAACGATGAGTTCTACAAACTGCCCTGTAGATTGGACAAGTTCTTCCCATCCTTTTGAGTCCATAAAACTATTGCCTCAAATAAAAGCCAAGTGCAAAATGCATTCAAATATCGAGAGAATCTCTATGTAGGACGTCCATAGAGCCAAACAGTTGACATGACTGCTTAGTTTTGTAATCAAAATTTTGGACTCGATTATTTACTTTTGATATATAGCAGTTTTTGGTACTATTTCAAACTCTACATTAAATAAGGAAATAGAAATTGTGTGTACTTTGGTTAGTGAAAGCAACTTATATGAAATAGATTCACCGTAATTGTGGTATTCCGGTTCAATAATACATTGTCATAAAATAAACATACTTACAACAATGCATTATTGGACCGAGACGCCAACGGTGAACTCCTTCCAATCCTTCTCTTTGGGTAGCAGTTTCATGTCATGGTTGTGGCAGGACAATTGACAATTTGATAACACAATACTTGCTGAGCTGGTGTATATATCTGATGGCAGAACTTGCAAGTTGTAAAGGTTGTTAGGATTGATGATTTGGGGGCCAAATAGTATGTTAGGTCAATGAAGGGTCTTTTCTAGGGCTTTTTTGTTGGGTTTGGCTTTGGGGTATTTTTCCTTCTTCTGAGTTTACACGTTCGAAATTTGGTGAAAACCAAATTAAGGTCTAGTTGTTAA